CTTCCTGAGCTGTATAGTTTGGCCGACTTCCAACAAGACCAAGAACTTGGAAAAGGGAATGGTTGCTGCTGCCTGGGGGCAGAAACAAACACAATGAACAGTTGGAGTGAGACGAGATGCTCCTCTGTGCAGCCACCACGGACCACAGCTCCCTCCTTGTACAGTGCTCTTCTCCAAGGAACCAGCTGCCTTAGCAGGGAGCATCACTGAGGGACTCAGTAAACTGACTTGGAAACGGGCTTTGATGGAAGTGCAGGAGTTGAGGCTTTTACAGCCAACCCTCCATACCCCACCACACAACTCTCACTAGAACAACTGAGGCTTGCTTCAGGGTGTTGCCTGGCATCTGACAGTCAGTGTGCATCCAGCACAGCAGCTTTCCAAAGCCACCTTTCCAAACTCATAGACATTAGCAGCAGCAGACACTTGAAAGAACTTGACACTTATAGGAAGAAAGTATATGCAGGAGGTCTAAGTACCTTCCTTCAGTTCTTGTTCTCAGAAGCGAGTTATATACACAGCAGCTTATGAAGAATTTTAGGTCCCAAGAACTCAGGTTACATTTAGAGAAACTGCTGAAAATTCATTTCTGCTTCATTGCAAATTAAGGGTCTCACAAGTCTGCACACTCTACATTATCTTTAAAAAACGGAACTTGGGTTCCTGGGCAACTTGGCCAATTCTGAAAATTTTAGCCGTGACAGTCTTTCATTCCCCAAAACATTAAACTGCAGAAACCACTCCCAAAACCAAGTCTGGGAAACAAATTTGCAGTTGCTCAGCGTAGCTCAATACTTAGCCTATTGAGTCACCACAACGACCACAGAACGGATGGATTATACGATTTTAATAGGTCAGACACCACTGTTTTTTCCTTTACAATCACACATCCTAAAACAACTAAAAAGTAGTTGAGATAAGTCAGACACGTGTGCCCACACTCTGTTTATTCTGAAAAGTCATCACCTCTTCTCCACATGAATGTTGTTATATTTGCACCTGACCTTATGCTGCCTGCCTTCAGTCAAGGACAGGGATTGACACACACAGGCAAAGAGCCTGCCAGAATAAGAGATTTATTTCTCTAAACATAGCTTTGTCACTCCTCTATCACACCAGCAGTTTGTGTGGCCAGGTGAGGAGCTTATCCTCCCCTTAACTGTCCCTATCTTTTGCAAATATGACTGAACTAAAGGAATTTAACAACATTTAGTTCTGCTTTTTAAATTAATACTGACAGAGTACCTCCTGATTGTTTTTCTGCTGTGCAGCTACAGGTTTTAAGACACTAACCCTGACAGCTGCAAATACACAGGCATCTCAATGTGCTGAGTACTGTACAATAGGCCAAGGAGGTTACTGTTAAAATACATGCACAGAAATAAAAAAAAAAAACCAAAAAACAAAACATTTTCTTCCTCCTACTCACTTTCTTGACCACATGGAAATTTTTTTTCTTCCCATTATCACATTTCTCATAAGACAATATGTTATTGGGCCTTCCCTGAAAATCATTCTGTGGAAAATAGTATGGAAGACAAGTGTGAAACTCTGTGAACACAGCATGTGGCAAGTAACACTCCAGCTCTCAAACACCATCTGTACTATTTCTGCTCCTCACTTCATGCTTTTCTTTCCTCATAACTGAACACTAACACCTGTTGAGTGGCTCCAGTAGTGCCAAAGAGCACACCCCTTGCTCTATTTCTCCAAGAAAATGAAAGGTAATGGATGACACGAAGTTCTGGCCACAGTGCAGTAAGATTTTTTGTTTGGAATTTTTTGTGCCAGGATTTCTTACCAGTTGCAGAGATGTCATACTCAAATCTACAGCATTTGAAGTTCCCTTTAAAAGAAACTCTTGCCCCAGCTGCAAACCATGCTGGTGACTACTACCTATTTTGAGAAGTGTCCTGAGATAGAAGCCAACAGAGGGTTGAACAAGAGTGAGGAAGGTTTAACATACAGAGATCACAAAAGGAAGTTAACTTCATATTGCATGCCATAAAGGATTAAAAAACATGTTCTTTGTTTAACAGCATGAACTCAGCTTTGCCTCAAGAGGTCTAGGGAGCTGTTTCAAGTGCTCCCCTTTCACATTATATCTGGAATGACCTAATCCAAATGGGAAACAGCACAATATACTCCATGTTTGTTTTCTTTTCGCTTCTTCTGCTATCAGAAAGAAAACCCAAAAATGAATCCAGCTGGAATAGGTGCTCCTCAAAAAAATCTCAGCCTAGGATCATTGCTGGTAGTTTTTTACACTCTGAGCCAGAGTGCAGGAGCCAATTGTGTGACCTAGAGAAACATCCACCCAACAAGCTGGTTTCCGGAAACCACAGCTATGACTTCTCTAATGAACTGGTGCTGTTGGTTGTCTGGCAAGCGAGGTGTGTGCCCAGGTGGCAGGTGACACGGTGCAGCTGGACAATGGGGAATGGGCAGTCTTTACCAATGCGGTCACTGCATCTCAGGTGATCCCGAAACAACTGATGGACAAAGAAGTTATGTTAATGAAGCAGCAACTGGGCATCTACCTTATGGCTACTTGCCTGGAGTTGAGGTAGGTATGTTTTACTGGGCTGATGTAGGTATGAAAATGCCACATGGCAGAACACATGAATTTGAAACATAGATCTACAATAAAACCTGAAAGTTTCATGTTTTCCTGCGGTTATAAACCTACAAGCCATTCCACACAGGCAAATCTTTGTGTCCTTGATTAACCTCAGCCAATAACTCAAACAGGGCTGTGTCTGATTAAGGTCCATATTTGCAAGATTCAGAAAATGCTTTGTAGAAAAATGTGGTTGTTGGCCAACCCTGATTGCTGCACGTAAGTTACATCTGATAGGAGCAAAATGTGAAAATGTAGACTGAAATTTCCTTACAGATCAGGGCATCACTATTTTTCTTGCTGATTTTCTTGTTGACTTTGTACTCACTGCCTCAGCATAATTACCCCTTTCTTGTCAATGTCAAAACAGGGTGGAGGAGAGGTTGTTTTTCAAAAGACAGGATAAATACCTTTGCCTCTAACTTCTGAAGGCTTCAGTTTACAAGTCACTGTGTCCACACTGAAATGAAGTTGTGATCAGGTCACAATAGACCTGATCCAACACATACTGAAACCAAAGGGAGACTTAAATGGAAGCTGGGTCATGCCCTGAGCAGACACTACTGCCCATATAACAAAACCAACCCCTCTCCACTTTTGGATGGCAGAAAACAGGGGTCTAGAAACATTAAAGACCTCTGAGGTCAGAAATTTGTCTACAACAAAAACCTAATACAGGAGAAATCAACAAGTGCACCTGTCTGCACTCTGCCTCTTTCTAGTGCTACCAAACCAGACAAAACTGCATCCACAGCAGGTATTTATCAAAAATGTAAAAAGATAAGATCTTGGAAAAAGACAAAATCTGGCCCAGAGTCTAAAATGTAGTGTAATTCTTCAATCTTAAAACAAAGTTTTCAAATAAAATAAACATAAGCTTGAAGAAATAAGTGTAGTACAAGTTAGAAGCTAGAAAAGACTTGTGTCAGGCTTTGTAGCACAGTTTTATGCTTGTCAAACATTAAAGTTAACCTAGGACTTGCAGAAGAAGGGAAGCATGAGCACCCCATGGCCAGTGTCAGACTCCATGCTTTATGTCAGCAGAGCACCAGCAAACACGTGTATGTTGCTTTTAACATTCTTCACATGGCTCCTATGCAAAAACAGTAATGAAAAAAGCTTACAATGAGGGAAAGTTAAGCCTGAAAATGAAACACACAAACCAGTTCCACAAGTGTCAGGGGATTTGGAGGGAAAGGACCACAGAAGAGCACATGCTTTGCAAAGATTAAAACAATTATTGTGTGATGCTGGTATGAAATTGATTGTCAGGAAAAAAAGACAGCAGGGAAAAGGAATATTGATCTTTTAAAAGGAGAGACCATTAGTTTGGATGATACAGCATTTGTAGGCTGGTCATTACCTTGTCTCACACATCCCCAGGATGGATGCACTATTATTTGTACAATTCGTAGGAGGGAGAGGCGGAGGTATGGGCAGACCTGCTACCCTCACACTGGCAGGTATGTTTTGACATGTTGTCTGAAAGTGACTGACACTCAGTAGCCAGAAATGTCTCACTCAGAAAGGCCTCTCTAGGCTGATCAGTTCTTCCACCCAACCTGAGCTTGGCAGGCTGAGGAAGGAAAAAGAGGCTCTTCTTTCGTCAGCTTTTTTCTACATTTGTTTTTCAGCAAATCAAGAAACAGACAATGACACAGGGATTTTTTCTGGGATTAGTTATGGGCTTAACAGATACATCCTGTATAAATGAAAAACAGGAAGGTACTGCAGGGCTCTGCAATGGGAATGAATACACTGTACCACAGGTAATGGATGCATTCTGACACCCTGGCACTGACTTAGGACCAAGCACTGACAAGGACCAAGAAGGCCCAGAGAATTTGTAATTCAAACTTATTAGCAAATTACTGAGCTAGAGCCTCCTCCCTCACCCCATACCTTTATTCACATGTTTGAGTATAAGCTCTTCATTAAACCTCATGATACCCATTATACCACACATTTTTGGACTCGTTTCAAATTCCATTTGAATAGCAAAAGCCGGGGGGGGGGGGGGGGGGAAGTATTTCTGAAAGTAAAAAGCTGACACTGTTGATCATAAATCTCTCGATATATATACACACACATATCTACACGGAGATACACGTATATACAAAGCTATCGACACGGATCCAAGCCATGCTGGTGACAGGTTTCCTAGCGCCAGCTGTTCCCAGCACGCCGCTGCCTCGCCTCCGCCAGCCCCGCGCTGCCCCGACTCAAACAGGGGAGGAGCCGCCGGCAAAGCGGGGCCAGAGGGAGACCCCCCTTCACGGCTTCGCATCACCCCACACCCCCGGGAGGCGCCTCCGGGCTCTGTGCCGACCCTCACCGCCCCGCCCGGCCCGGCCCCGCCGCAGGTCTCGCCGCCACCTACTTCTTGCAGGGGATGAGCGCCTTCCTCTCCTCCAGGATGCGGAGGCGCTGGTTGGGGCCGTCGTAGGAGACGGCGGCCCTCGTGTTGCGGCCCGAGCCGTGCTCGTAGAACACGGTGCGCCCTTCCCACTGCCGCGGCGCCTGGCACGGCTCGGCCCCCCCCGCCGCTCCACCGCGCAGCAGGAGGACGCCCAGCAGCAGGAGCAGCCGCAGCGGCGGCCCCGGCCCCGGGCGCAGCTGCTGCCCGGCCCCCGGCCGCGCCATGCTCCGCTCCGCGCTCCCTCGGCGCACGGCCGCCCCGCACGGCGCGCAGGCGGGCGGGCAGGCTGTGCCGGGGGGCGGGGGCGGCCCGCCTCCAAACCCGCATCACCTCGGCGGCGAGAGGCGGCCGCCGCTACAGCGCCCGGACGCCAGCGGGGCAGGAGGCAGCGCGGCCACAGGCAGCCGGGACCCTCGGCCTCTCACGCCTCCCTCCCCGTAGCCGGGAGGGTGTGGGCGCCCTGGCCGTGCCCACTGCTTAGCGAGGGCTGCCCAGAGGGGCAGCTGCGAGCTCCAAGCCCAGGGCACTCTGCGTGAGCTTGGGGCGGGAGGGGATACGCGAGCAGGAGTAACCTGCTGGGACAAACTGCTTTAATGTTGCCCTCGAGGGGGGAATTTCAGTGCCTCCTTACGGACAGACAGTGTCACCAAGCATTCCTTCACCACATGAATTCCTTCATCTCCCACTGCCCTCTTAGATGTATCAGCTGTTGTTTCCTGCCTGCTCTGGATGTGCTTTCCTCACCCACTAAGGGAAAGGGAGGCCCGTGCCCCACAGGTGCTCCGTCCCTGCAGCTCTGCTGCATCTGCAGGGGGCAACACCGGTGGCACCACGGTACCTGGCCGGGGCAGGTACCTCAGAGTCATGCTGTGGCTCTCTCAGGTCACTGGGATAACCTGACATTGAGTTAATCATCTTATCTCAGCGGGTCCCTCAAATACTGGGGAGCGGCATTTCCCACAGTGAAGAACGGGCCCGGAGGTCTTTCCGTGTAAGGGGGAACGGAGGTGGGCTGTGAGGGAGCCCTTTGCCGCCGCCTGGGCACGCCGTTCCTCTCCACCAGGGGCGCGTGGCCGTAGAGCACCAAGGAAAGGAAAATAAAAAACAGCTTGGCAAAAGTCTGAAGGTTCTTCCGCTCGTGTGCAGATGCGATTGGTGGGGGACAGCGGCGGGGGGAGCGGGGCGGCGGGCTGACTGCCCGCACAGCACCCCACAGCGGCCCCGCGCTGCCCCGGCCCCGCCGCCGCTCCCCCTGTCCCGAGCAAACCGGGCCACGAGCCACCACCCCTCTGTTCGCCCGTGCACTTCACGCCTTTCCCCGTCCGTGCCGAGCTCAGGGAGGGAATTCTGCAACCCCCTGGAGGCGTCGGGAACAGCCGCCGGAGCTCCCTCAAGTCCGCAAAAACTTTGTTCTCCCTTGAGAAAACGCGGCGTATGAAGTTCTTCCCACGGGAAGAAGCCGCGGTTCCTACCGTCGCCTTCCCTCTCCCCGCGCCGGAGCGCAGAGCCCCGCGGCAGAACCGTGTGGTTTGGGTTTCCTCCCCCCGCCTCGCCCCCCTTCCACCTGAAGGAATTTATGACACAGATGAAAACTGAAACGGAGCTGGAGCGGCGGCCGAGAGACGCAGTGATGTCGCCGGGGGATTAAACGGGGTGGAGGTGATGTCACCGTGCCTGCACAGCAAAACGCACACATACGCGCACACCCCCCACCCCCCGGAGGAGCGGGGCTGCCAAGGGAGCGCGATCGGCCCCACGTCACTCGTGCCACTGGTATAAATGCGGTCCCGCGATGTCCATGGCTGTCGGCGCGGCGGCTCCCGCGACTTGACTGCAGCGGGGCTCCGGGAGGCAGCGCCGCTCCGCGCCCTTCGGCCGCCGGGACCCGCGGGGCGGCGGCGGGTGGCGGCGGACAAGGAGGAGAAGGAGGAGGAAGAGGATGCTGCGCGCCTTGGTGGCGGTGTCCCTGTGGCTGCGGGTGAGCCCGCGGGCGCAGGGCGCGCCGTGCGAGGCGGTGCGCATCCCCATGTGCCGCTCCATGCCCTGGAATATCACCCGCATGCCCAACCACCTCCACCACAGCACCCAGGAAAACGCCGTCCTCGCTATCGAACAGTACGAGGAGCTAGTGGCCACCGGCTGCAGCCCGGTCTTGCCCTTCTTCCTCTGCGCTATGTACGCCCCCATCTGCACCTTGGAGTTCCTCTACGACCCCATCAAGCCGTGCCGCTCCGTCTGCCAGCGCGCCCGCGACGGCTGCGAGCCCATCATGCGCCGCTACAACCACAGCTGGCCCGAGAGCCTGGCTTGCGACGACCTCCCCGTCTACGACCGCGGCGTCTGCATCTCCCCAGAGGCCATCGTCACCGACGTGCCGGAGGGTGAGAACCCTGGGGGCAGCGAGAGGTGGGAGGGAGGACTGCCTCCAGCTCCGCGGGACGCCCCAGGGTGGGACGGGGGCGCTGCGGGACCCCCACGCTCTACAGATAGTTTTCACTCCCTGACGCACTTCTGTTTGCAGATGTGAAGTGGACGGACTTCACACAGGGTTTTATGGTGCCAGACAGACCCCTGGAGCCTGACTGCAGGAACCGTGGCCAGGGTGAGCCTAGGACGACCCCCCCGCCTCCACCCCCCTGGAGACAGGGTTCCTCTGACACCCCTCAACCTTTCTCCCTTCTCTTCCTTTGAAGAGCGGTGCAGGTGCAAAAAGACAAAACCTACGCTGTCAACCTACTTGGCCAAGAACTACAGCTACAGTAAGTGCATGGGGGAAATGCTTCACTTTGCCTGCCCCACATCCTTTTTGTGTCCCTGCAAGTTAAGCAGCCCTGTGTGGGTGCTGAACCCACACCAGGCCACGTCCAGCAAATGCGGCATGAGAAGACTGCTCCAACACAGCCTTTCCAAGTGGGTGTTTGCCGGGACCTAGCTGTCCTCTTCCAAAATCCAGCTGTAGCACACACCATGTGCAGGCAGTAGTAGTAATTGCACAGATGATGGTGTGTTTCTGAAAAAAGCAGTAAAATGTCAGTAATGTGCACCCTTCTGCTCTGCAGAAAGGGTGGTTGCTGCTGCAAAGGTCACTCTGGTAAAGGCAGTGACGCCTGATGTGAGTGTGGTGGCTTGGCCAGCTCCTGTTTTCATCCAGCAGGTAGAATAAACAGGGGTTTGCTACCCAAATAAAACTTGTAAATGTGAACCAGCTGCAGCAAAGTAAAAAGTTTTTAGAAATTTGTATATGCTTTTACTTAATAGCCAGAGTTCTGTCTGGTGCAGAATTGTCAGAGATTAACTGAATTCAGTGACAATTTACACCATCCAGTCACGGAGATAGCTGATAGTTTTATTATACGTTGGGTGACGTATATTGGCAACAAAAATAAGTATTCACCCCTCTTTCCCCTTGGCTTCCCCCTGCCTCAGTTTTCTGATGGTGTGAGTGAGGAAGAACTCTAATTAAAGTTAGATAAATGCCAGATTAAACCTAGTGTCAATACAAAGCCCCTATTAACTATGAATTTTATATGCAGTATTGCTTCATTTTGCACTTTCTGGGTATTTTCTCAATGGCAGGTTTTTTCCCAGTCATTTTTCTAGTTCTTCTGCAGTAGGGTTATAATATAGTTCAGTTCCTATTTGTTTGATATCAAATGAATGTAAGTTTGTAGCTATTTGCTTCTTTGTTAGCATGTTTGGTGGGAATAATCAAGCTGAACCTTCAGCTTAGGTAATTGTACAATTTTTTGTTCATTATAGCATTTTGGTGCATTTACACAACTTATTCTTTTTCTATAATTCTTTGAGCTGTGTCAGTACAACATAGAGATATGTTTAGGTGGAAAAATGAGCTTCCACAGTTGCCTGAAACATATGAAAAGTAGTGATATCAAATGACTGCTCCGAAATGAAAGACAGGTGTTAGCCATATAAATTCTGATTCCAGTGATTCAGTGGGAGTGTTCCTTGAGTAAAACCTGTGTGTTGGGGTCCAAAATTTAATTCCATTGAATTTGTGAAATCAAGATTTTGTTTTTGAGATGTAAATTTTTATTCAGCACCCTGTGAGATAAATAGACGTATTTATATGGAAAATGAATTGAGGGACAAGATTTAATGAGTTGAAAATTAATTTTTTTTCTGAAAACCTTTAAAATAAGACATACAGCCAAAATGTACTTTCAGTTGTACCAATCAGACTTGAAAACGGATTGTGAGTCTCCAAAACTGAAATTCCTCACATATTTTGTGTCTGGTATACATGTCCTGATAAAGGTGGAGCACATAAACCCCAGACTGCATTAACAGTGCTGGTCTCCTGCTTTCCATGTGTGAAGTTTATTCCAAATGTTATGAGGTTTACATGGAGGCTTTTGACCCTGTGTGGCTGGCAGGGGCAGACTGATCACCCTGTGGTCTATACACTTCTCATGCCTCTTCAGTGCCTTTCACTGAAGAATTTTTGGACAGTAGAACCCTTTTTATTTTGACATTTCCTAGAGACAAAATCCTTTATGTAAAAATCATACTTAATTTATTACATCTGGTATTTCTCACAAGAGAGAAGGGATGAAATGCTCGAGAAATGCCAGAGTTTGTAGGTACAAAGTTAGCCCAGGGATCATTTCAGAGTAATCTACAGCGTTTCACCTTCTTGCATCTGTGCAGACATGCAGTTTTCCTCAATGAAAGGTAAGAATACAAATGATTGTGTATTCGGAGTCAGAAGAACATTTTTCAGTGTCTCGTTTATATAAGGATCTCACTATTGGTATAGAATCCAAAGGCAAAAGATGAAAAAAAGTGTAGCTCAAGTAAATAATAGAAATCCTAAGCCTCTTAGTTTTTTGACTCGTTTCTAGCCTTCCCTTCTTTCTTATATTTAAGAAAAGACTATATTTCCTGGTTACGATCTACAGGAAGTTATTTTATTATTGAAAAGACTGAATTCACGACAACTGTCTGTGAGGTAAATTATTCATTATTTAATCAGAAATAGCCAGATGTGGCTGGAGAATGGGTTAGATTTATGCAAAGGCTTCTTCAAGTCTGAGTTAAAGGAGCTGTTTGTGTGTGTGATTCCAGGCGAGATTGGTTGGCCTGATCTGGCAAAGATTTAAGCACATGTTTAATTTTACAGTTGTCAACAGTCCTACTGAAAACCAAATTGAGATCAGGCCTCTGTTATTCTAAGCCACTGTTCATGCCCACACAGGCAGAAGTAGTTCTAGTTTCACAACCAAAACAACAGCTTCCAATTCAATATATTTTATTTAATTTTGAGATGTGTTTAAATTTCTAAGACTGTTCATTGTTCTTGCTCCTCTATTTTTCTATTTGCAGTCATTCACGCTAAAGTGAAAAGCGTCGAAAGAGGGAACTGCAATGAGATAACCACTGTGGTTGAAGTCAAAGACATACTCAAGTCTTCAATGCCAATTCCTCTGTCCCAAGTGCCTCTTCTTACAAATTCCTCCTGCCAGTGCCCGCCTCTTCAACCAAAGCAGGATGTTCTCATCATGTGCTATGAGTGGCGCTCAAGGTGAGCCATGATGTGTTGCAGAAAAGTGTTAGGGCTGGTTGTGATAGATGGGAAGGAGGACCAGTAAATCTCTCTTCCTCATCATAGGCTTGTTTTAGGATTACATACATACACATACGTGTTTCCATTACCTTCACAGCTGACTTTCTCCGCTTCATCAGCCTCAGCTCTGTGCCATGATGTGTTTACAAAATTTGACTCACGCAAAGTGCATGAAATCTGGTGGCATTAGATGCTGACAGCATATTGATAAAGCATCATGCAGCAGTTCAGTCACCTCCAGTTTGGGAGTGTTTTTCCAGGACCACTTTCCATAGGGATGAGTTGCTTTGTGTGCGACAAGCCCAATGGTGGCTGTAGTTGATGGTCTGTGTTGGCATCGTTCTGCCTCACCAGGGGAATGGGCAGGAGATGGTATACATCCTCTGTCAGCAGAGCTGCTGGAGTCAGAGCCAGGCCTTCTCCACTGGCCTGTCCATACTTTGGACCAGTGCCATCAGCAAGATGTTTCTGATCCCACAGCTGTATTGGGACCAGCCAAAGCTGCAGCCATTGGAGCTCTAGCTCCCGGATGGCAAATGAAAAGTAAATACTCTTAGAGCAGCTTGCCAGACCTGCTGTATCATTAAAATTAAAAACAAAACAAAACAAACTTTACCAGACCTTTCATCTGGCAGCCAGCCTAGCCCCAGGCATGGAAGGAAATCCAGCATGCTGGCCTGGAGGGGAAGGAGTGGTGAATCACAGCTCCCTTTTCTCCCTGGTTCCTTGAGGCAGAAGGGTACATCCCATCCACATTAGCACTCCAAGAGCACCAGTAGATGCCAGCAGAGCAGGTTGTGGTGTTTTAGGTTCTATGTAGGCCTGTGTGTTGTAGTTGGGAGGCAAGGCTGTCTGTAAAATGTGCAGGCTGGTTTTGCATACTGTGATGTTGCTGTTAATTGGCCGTGCACACTTGTAAGGACCACAGAACATCCACATGTGGGATGTGGTGGGCCATGCCCATATTTTTAATGAGCTTTATGTTGATATTTTGGGAGCATTTTATAGGTATTTCTAAAATTTGATGATTGCTTTATCTTGTTTTTTGGTGAGCTAACAGACACAGTATTATATTACTATCCAGCTCTTTGCACTCCAGGTCCGGAAGTATTTCACAAATATTAATGTAGAGCAATCTCTTTGCGTTAGTAATTTTAGGGATACAAGCTCTGAGTCATGTAGAAGGACTATGACCAGAACAGCGATGAAGGAGCTCTGGGTTGCAGAGGATCCTCTGGAGGCTGTTAGGAAAGGGAGATTTCATAAGTCAAAGATCACAATCGGCATCTCCATTATTATGGAAAAAACACGTTATTCACTAAATGTCTTGTGATGGTTTTTAAAGGTCATTGAGGTTTTTAATTTCATATAGTGTACTAAAGTGGATTTGAAAAAGAAACATAAGCTATTATATGTGCTTCCTGTTGAACTCAGTGGCAGGAAAACAGAAGGTTTTGAGTTACAGCAGTTTTTTAAAATGACAGAGGCAGAATGGGAGGAAGCTGTACCACCTCTGCAGTCAATGGCAAAATACCTATTGCCTGTTGTTAGGGTTAGAGCCTCACTGGATAATTTGACCTGAACCAAAGCTATGCCAGATGTACCCCTTGTTGTGGTTTCATCCATGGCAGTATGGCCTTGGCATCAATCCTGTATGTTAGTCGTCTAATTTCTCTTCGGAAAGAAATGTGCAATGTATTGGTCCTTATTCTCCAAGGTTTACACTCAAGTTAGGCCTTTTATGTTTGGTCAAACTGGATGCACAGTGGCTAATGACTACAAGAGGCAGCATTTTGTACTGTGTTTGAGCTGCTAAGAGCAGTGAGACTACTCATAGAAACTGGCGGTCAGGCCCTGCTACACTGTTTAACCTTCACCAGGCAGAACACTGCTGTGTGATGTTGTGTGCTTTTATAACAATGTCTTGATGTTTTCAGCCAGCACTGGTGTCTAAGTAAAACCCCCAAGAATTTTAGTGGAATTTGTATTAGGGCATGTTAAGGCCTGGTGTCTCAACCAACCAAACAAACCCCAAAAAGTTGTCTCTAGGCTGGGACGTGGAAGGTGCGACATCAGACTGCTTTAGAATAAGCTGCTTTAGGAGCTGTTTAAGGCATATATATTTAATAGTCACATATTTTTTTTGTTCATTTCATAACAACTAGACTTAATGTTTTTATGCAGGAGCTAGCCAGATTTCACTGGTAGGCAAGTATGGCAAATATCACTAACCATACATCTTCCAAATTCACCTTAAAGCACTCATTAAGGAGTTAGATGTAGAAAACACATACTGCCATCCCCATGTATTTATAGAAAGGTTATAATTGTAAGTGATCATATAATTATATTACTGTTTTTCAGGTAAACTGTATTAGCTGGTGCATGTGAAACAGCTTCTTTTTTAAAGTCAGAAGTGAAATGCTTCAGTTTAATCTACTCTTCACACAAACACACAGAGAAACATGGTATCCCATTATCCCATACATAATACTGGCCAGTACCAGTACCTGTGGGTGCATTTCAAACCCAATCTGTGTCAAATCATCTGGAATGGCATCTCAGGAATTAAAATCAGAAATATCCATAATTTGTGTGTATTTCTTAATTTTCAGGTTGATGCTTCTTGATGGATGTCTAGTTGAAAAATGGAAGGACCAACTAAACAGAAGATTTAAGGTAAATACAACCAAAGTAAAGAATGCTGAGGTTCTTGATAAAAAGTTAAACACCTTTGTTTTACTTCAGATTAACTTTGATGACTTTCAGATATCTGTAACTCCACTGGCTATCATTATTTCCACTTGAACATTTTCAGCCCTCATAGTTACCCAAGTATAAGTGAAAATTTGAATACCTTAATCTTGTGTTTCAGGGTCTCTAAAATTTTTTTTCTCTTTAATTTTATCCTGTGGGATGATCTTCGTGTGAACTCTGGTTTCTTACAGTAATGTCTCTAGGAATTTCTTTCATATCCCTGCTACCACAGGGAGCGATGATATGAAAGTGAAGGTGATATGCATATGAGTGCATAGCCCACATTAGATAAGAAAGGACATTAAAATCCTCTGCACTGGATTAATGTTTTTCTCTGCATTAAAGATTACAGGCTGGAGACACACACTTCACACCAGGTATTCCTTACGAAGACTCACCCAAAGGATTGGGCATTGTTTCTCTGGATTCAGGAAACACTGGAAGGAAAAGTCTTTAGTATAGAGACATGGGTGGCAGGCACAGCAGATGCCCCTGCTTTTTGGGGCTTCAGGATAGCACTTGATATCACTCTCTACTTGTAAATTCCTCCTTTTAATGGAAAGAAAGGATGGATTGAGAGAAGCTCTGATTCTTCCTCTCAGTTTTAGACATGGAAGAAAGTTATTTTTGGAATTCAGAAAGGTTTTCAGAGCATTATGGACATACATGTATGTTTAAGGATGTACATGTGTGTTTTAGTTGTGAGTTGATTGGCAGTTGATAGAGAGGAGGAAAAGAGATGTAGGAATCCATAAGCAGAAGCTTTTAGATTGCAGACCAGCTTCTTGCAGAAAATCCCATTCAGTGCTTCTCTCATACCCTCCTCACTTACTCATCTGAAACCTATGTGTGGAAAAGAAAACATGCTTTAAATCTATAAAAAATAAATACATGGCAATTGAAGAGGATGCCATGTGGGATTTAGAAGAATATTGACGTAGGACTTGGATTCCTGAAATCCTTTAGCTGTCAACTTAATGGCCTGTTACTGGCGTACAGTGTGTTTTAGTCACCTCCTCACACTGTTTTGTCATTTCTAATTGTGTCTTGAATCATGTTTGGGCATTAGTTTTCAGATTGTCAAAGAGATGCATGACTGCCAAAAAAATGCCCTTCAAAGCACATGTAATTTCCTCTCATATTAATAGTTTCAGAAACTAAATCCTCATTTAAACATGTTTGAGTGGGACACAACTAAATGTCTGCTGATAGTTTTGGTTTTATAAAGATGCATAAAATAACTCTGACCACACAAAGCCAGTATGGAGCTAGGTATCACAGTGGCTTCATTTTAATGCCCATCATTCATCTCTGGAGACTTGCATCCAAATTTTGTCTTGAGTTACCACTTACAATGGATGTTTGGAGCTGTCTGTCAACCACAGAAGACAGTTGTTAACATAACCACAACATTGCTGGTCTTTTCTCTAGCCAGGACAAGAGTCTGAGCTGCAACAAAGTCAGTGCAGAGATACTGAATAGGCAAACTGGAGAACATTTCTCTTTCTCTGTTCACTGCGTAAATCCACCGCCTTTAGCAATTTCAAAAGGGAAAGATAATAGAGGGGAGAGGTGAGATCCTTTCTGGGTTCTACTGCCTACCTTGTTTTCCTTAAAGTAGGTATTTCTGTTCCTAGACATGAAAGTCTGCAGTCTCTGTTGCTGTTTTATGGATCCCTCCATGTTTTGGAGAGCTGACTAGTTAAACTTACTGTAAAAACCTATTTTGTAGCTGCTGCACTATTGGATTTGAAAATCTGACAGCTGTTACCTTTGGTAGGCACATTGCTTTTCAAAATTTCTTGGGGATGCTGCTGAATAAAGCTGCAGGTGCATTATTCAAACCATGCCATTGCAACTCCCAACACAATGGTTTCGCTGTGATCATCGCTATTTTCTGTCCATAACATAAGCTTGTTCATGCCCAGTCCTTTCCACCCCAGGGAAAAGCAGAAGCAGAAAGTAAATACTAGCTCCCCTTGTGGCTGTGTGCTTAAATATGTATTGTGAAAGGATAGTTTGATTCCTGTAGACTTTGTGAGGAAAAGTCAAGTAGCACATCCAGCGAGACAGCAAGAATGGCCTTGCAAAGGAGCTCCAATATACTGGTCCTGACTTTTTGATGGCAAGATGCCAGCTTCCCTCTGTTTCTGAAAAGGCACTCACGTGCAGCATGCACATGAGATGGGCAATTGTCATTTCCATCAACTGGTGTTGTGGAAATTCCCTCTAACCTAGAACACACTCCCTGCAAATAGCCATTGCATGCTGACATCAGTGGCCTTGCAATATAGAGTATGAGACTGTTAAAGGTAGCACTAGCATCAGTGGTTCAGGATAACTTTGATTAAGATGTAATTATTTATTATTATGTCCTTCCGTAACTCATCCTGTTTGTCTTTGGCATTTCTACAGAGGTGGGAACAGAGACTGCAAGAACAAAAGCGACGAACTGCACGCAGTAAGAACCAGAATTCGGGACGCAGTGGTCAGAGTGGAGCCCTGAAACCTCAAACCAAGAACACCAACCCAGTGATCAGTGGCCCCAAAAAGGCCATTAAAATAAGAAATGGCCAGAAAGAAATCAACCCCAAAAGAGTATAAGTGTGAAATTTCCAAAAGGAAGGACTTTCCCTGCATGACAAGGGTCACAATCTGGCTTGGTCAGCATGTTTTATTAATCTGGAACTCATTGACTTAAAGAATCATGTCATTTTCTACATAGACCTCTTTGCTGCACTTTACTGTTCCAAGGTTTGCTTATCCTTTCAATTCACTGCAAGCCATAGAATATAGGTTTGCACTAATACAAGGAAGGCATATTCCAGCTGACCGAGCTTTATCTTTGGGCTCTGATTTCCCATCTAGACAGAGCTAGCCTTGGCTGCCAGACATTTTGACTCCTTGTACCAGTTGTCTGGTCTGCTTCCCTGCCAAATGTTGGAGAGCTGCATGGAGTTTCTGTCTGTCCTCAGCTGGTGTAATAGTTGGTGAGTTAGTCTGTGAATTAGCTGAGAGCTCACTAGACCTGGCAGCTGAGGAGCAGCAGAAGGATGGTAACCTCTGGCAGATATCTCAGGCAGCGGTGGCTGCAGCTGCTGGAGCTGAACCTATCTGCTATTTGGAATCACAGCCCTTCTTCAGAGTGTTCAAAAGCATAGTTTACCATTAAGCATCTGGGTATGCATTATATGATTATTTTTATGTGTGTGCTGAAAAAGTGCTTACAGTGATAGTATTTTATCTTGTGGGTTTGTGTAGTAAAAAATGCATTCAAAGCAGACAATTTTTTAATTGTACTTCAGGCTGGCTTCTGTTGTTCTAATTTCAAATATATTTAAACATCTAGTTGAAAAATTGTATTTTTTTGAAGAGACCAATTAAAGTGAACAGATCTGTAGAATTCTTAAAAGTAACACATCTGCTGTAATATAGCTTTGCTATGAAAACTGGAATAGGAGCTTTATTCTAAAGATAACTGACAGCTACTGTACAGTATTAAGGAGAAGATAGGGCTTCAAGTGGCTCAGTAATCATTTGGATAACGTTTTATCATTTGATACCATAATTCTTACCTTTCTCTGAGATTAAATAAATGAATAAATAAATCTGCCTTGTCCCTATTAATGAGCTTCTCAAAACAACTGGCTATCTGCAGTTTTTCGTATCAGAAAGTATAATTTACACTGAAAAGCAGATTCTTTTATTTATGTGGTAAGTTTACTGACGTAACATTTTCTGTGTGAGGTATTAGAACAGAAAAGTTGATACAAGACTAATCAATATAACTCCAAGGTGGCATTTATGCTATTCCTTCTGAGGTGTACTTCAGTGAGGCAGCATAGATAATACATTCTGATTTCAATTTCATGTAACACACAAGAAGATCACCAACATTAAGATCAGAAGAGATCATGATAAATACATGAAAGACCCTCCAGATTTCCTGCAGGAAGTCTAAGACTTTTCATTTCTGGTAAAATGAGGATTTTTATAATAGAGAAGTTCTATGTCAGAAAAAAAAAAAAGTTCTGTGTAGATTATCATAAGGAATAACAATTGCTCATGTCAGTATGTTGATCTCTGCCATGACAAAAATTGCAATGAAATTTGCATATGTGAAATTCACAGCAAAATGTGCTGGAGTGATTCTGCTAGCAGCAATTACATACTTACTAATTTGCTAACGTGAATTTGGGACCTAGATGCCAAGTTGCAGTGTTTAAGATCTAGAGGTGTTACAACAAAATGGGATAATAGCATATAGAATAATTCAGGGGGGAAAAACCAACGGAAATGGTCATTGTTGAGCTTCGAGCAACCGGTTAACATATACAAAGGTCAGGAGTTGAGTGTAGCACTACTGGTAATTCTGGGCAGGTGCAGGACTTTGTTGACATGGAACCACCTGCAGAATTAGATCCAAAATTCATTCCAGGTGCCAGGAATGCTGAACGTATATAGGATATATTGACTTTAGTAGGAATTATGTGTTTGACGTGTCTGAAAAAACAGACTACAAACTTAGATGCTTAAATACAGCCTATAGATGGAAACTTAATCATGTTCAGTGAAATGGAGAAACTGAAATGGAAATCAAAGGAGACAGAATTTCACTTGCAGGTGACTAATTCACGTTTGAAAATGCTGACTTAAGCATAATTGGAAAGACTGGAAAACTTTAAAATAGTTTTATGTACTGTGTAGCAGGAGTTCTTAAGTTTTGATTACCTATTGATCCCAATTTAAAGTACCCCAATAAATCTATATATTGTTAGCCATTAAAGAAGGAGTGACAGTCACATAAATGAGATGTTGATATAACAAATACTGAAGTCATGATATATCACTTCAAGAAATTTTATTGTGAACACAATCAATATGTTCATAGTCAATATGTTCCATTGTTAAATGGAACTTTTGGAACAGCTACCTAGACTCCACAGCAACATCACATATTATTTTACAACTGTTAGAATAAAACTTTTTTTTTTTCATTTTGTCAGAGGAAAAAACATACAAATTATTTTCTCCAAAGAATTGTCACCGTTCCTTCTCCTAGTTGCTGTCATTAGATTGACCATTCCAATATGCTGGAATAGACATGGATGCACCAAGCCAGGTGTTTTCCAAACTCCTTAACATTTTTTTGTATACTTCATGCTGAATAAGTTTCAATCTGATATGGTAAAAATATGGAAGTAGGAAAAGTAATACAGCAAAAAGCAGGGGATATAATAATACAAAGAACAGACATACAAGGGATAAATTAATAAGGTAGTGTGTTTTTCCAAACCCATTTTTTCCTTTATTTTAAGAAGCCATGGGTCAACCCAATTTATCACTAATGCTAGTCATTCAGTTTTGAAAATCCCCTACAATTATTTACTCCCTGTGACATCAACTGCCAGCTGAATCCAGACTCAGGATATCCACACCCTTCCCTTCCCTTCCCTTCCCTTCCCTTCCCCTAAAATAGGTGTTGGAGCACTGAGGGCTGTTTGAACAGGTGTATTCCTCCCCAGAGGGTGCAGTCCCCACCTCTGCTCCCTGCCATGTGGCAAAAGGTCAGACTCACCTCTTCTCGTGCACATCCATGGCCAGGTGTAGCCATTGCTGTGCTGGTGCACTCCAGCACTGGAGCCATGAAAACTCCATTCAGCAAAGGGAGGCAAATAGTTTGCTGATGGATGAATGTAATTACTGTAACTACTTAAAGATGAAAAAAATTAAGATGCCAAATTCTTGAAGTGTTAAATGGGGCTTTTTCTCAGTGTTGCAGCTAAGCCTTCTTACTGAGGGGCTTGGCATTTTTTAAATATAAAATAAAAATGGCCTGGAAAACCAAACATATGCTTCTAGTGAGTTTCTTACTACCTCCCACACACATGTGCCCAGTTTAGTTAGAAGTGCCATTCAGTATTTTCACTGAATATTCTAACCTCAGTTCCAAAAGAATGAAACCTGAAAAAATATTTACTCTAATTGTGAATGATTGGCACCATTTTAGAAGCTCACTGTAAACGCAACTCAGAACTCTTTTATGAAACACATTTTTAAAAAGCCCATAAACCTTCCTCCAACAAGACCTGACTGACCCGGTCACTTCAATTCAGTGTTGCAACTTTCGTCCAGTCAGTGCATATGACTGAGAAATACTTCCTAAGCAAATAAAAAGAAGATTTTTCTGTCCAAAATACTCAAACAGCTCTTAAATTCTTTTATCCAGAATTGCAACCTAGATTCCAAATCTAGGAATGAAACCTGAAAAAATATTTACTTCAATTATGCACAACCAACCCATGCTTTTTGGTTGCACTTAGCAGTTGAATGTAAATGCACATCTGAAAACATTTCCTCAACCAGATTTTTATGGTAAGCTACATCAGCAACAATTAATTTTGTAAATAAATATAATCCATCAATATGGGTCAACAAACATTCAAAATTATGTTTTCATTTATAAATTCGCCCACTCCCCAATAACTCGCAAGTAATTAATTTCTATAGAAATGCATTACTTCTGATTAGAGCTAGCCAAGGCTAGCTTGGAAAAATTGCAGTGAATTTCAACTTCTAACACTACATTTCATGTAACATCTCTGAAATTGAACAACAGCTTTATTGGAATGTAAAACAGCATTTCAAACTTGCTTGTTGGATGTGCAGTCAACTTGAGGCCTTCCAGGTAATCTATTAATATTAGCTTGGTTCCTGCTGCTGCCAAAAGGCTGGTGGATAAAACACTATGGAAATGAGCATAGAGCAAGAGAGGGCAACACTCCTTTTCTCTAGATGGGGATATTAAGATCAAGCCCCAAAAGTACCTTAAATATATCAAGCAGTCTACATCCAGATAAAGATTAATGATTGTATCAAATTAACCAAGAAATGCCCCAAACAGAACGCCCTAAGTATTTTGACTACTTGTGATTGCAGTGTGATGAAAACTTTATAATTTGTACATACTCAGAGAACTTCAGTATGTATTCTCTGAGCAGAGTAACCAGAGAGCTGACCATTTGCTCACAAAGAACTGTGGATAAACTGAACAGATACTTGCAATGTCTGACTTGCCAGTGTAGTTCATTCAGCAGTCAGAGCAAAGGGAAAAAAGTGGTTCAGAGCCACAAGCTGATTGACTCCATCTTCTTGGCAGGGAAAAAAAAGCTTTTTCTCCAGTTGTCTTTTTTTTTAGTGTAGTAATTCAATACAAAATCTCAGTACAATCAGACATACTTATTCTTCTAAAACAGTATTTTGAGATTTATAACCCTCTTGTTTATCATTCTAAACTGAAACAGATCTTTAATATAGTCTTTAGTGTCAGGTTATGATTTCATTAAAGTTCCTAAACAAGGAAATATGTGGTTTGTGGTACAAATAAACATGCCCTGTGGTTCCATTTCTCTCCTGCTGGGACAAAAATCAGAAGAATAATTATGTTATCTTTTGTTAGTCTTGGAAGAATTATAATCAAATCTTTGCACCACCTAATTCTATGATGAAAGACAAGATGTTTTCTAAATAAACAGTTGTAAAGGCCACATTCTCTTTTGAACTGGCATTTAGATATGAGCTAAATGGACAGAGTCAGTGTTTCTGTAAGTTTTATGTGCAGCAGTTTTGTGTAAATTTAATTGCAGGAAGATTTTAATCTGTGACAATTCATGGAGTTTATGTTGGAACGGAGCCTTCTGACTCTATAAATCAAATAATTGCTGATCCCACCAGAAATGTTCAAATTCTTAAAAATTGCATCCATATCTATATTACAGTAATATAATTTTCAAAGTAGAGTGGCTGGCAGTGTAAATAATGTATGTAATACCTACAGGGTGAGTTAAAATTTTAAAGAGACAAAGCAATCTCTTAAAATACTGACAGTATTTTGATTGCAATTCTTATGAATGCACATTTTGATAATTGTATAAAATCTCCAATCTTCTGTTCTCGAAGATATAAAAGCTTTGCAAATCTGAATCTCTTAATCATCTGAATGAAACACTTATATTTGATATTTTAAGAAGTTTCTGTTAAATTTCTCCTTTCCAAAGCTGCTAGAAGATTTTAAGATCAAGAATGTATTGAGGAGAAAGAAGATGAGCATTAATAAATGAAATGTTCCCACATTTCAGTTAGGGTTTGGATACTTAGGCAACATGAAGAAAAAACTGTCATAGATCTATGCATAATATTTCAATGGAATCTAATGGATCACTTTCATCAAGCACAAAGCAGGGATTGTAATTGACACACATGAATATGGAACCCCAAATAGACAAAATCCTTCAACACCCAATAGTTAAACCAAACCGGCAAAAATGTTATATTGTTAAAGACTGATGTGATGCAATATGGAGGATAATGGTTAAGCAAGAGCAATAACTTGGCATATAAAATTTCACCATATTTAAACAGGCAGAGGCAGAGCTATGGTGCCCCCACAGCAAACTGAAATTTCTCACACCAGAGCAATAAGTGATTCACAGTATTCACCACCCCTGTATGATACTTATCAAGTTCTTTGATTTTAAACTTCCACCAGATATGTTATGGACTCTTAATAAGATATAAAAGCACTTTGCTGTTTTCAACATTTCTGCTCCTGTCAAAAAATAAACCCACA